CTAGATAGTTTAAAAAAAAAAAAAAAAAAAAGACAGATGAGCTGAGGGCTTATCACCCATTCTTGCCTGATATTACAGTTTGAAATATAAAATATATGCAGAAACACACAACTGCCTGCTGTTCTCTAGCCAAACAAGTTCAGCTGAGGTGAATACAAACTCCACAATGTAAATGTTAACTGGATCACCTATCATTCTGTAAACTCCAGTCCTGTAGCTTTTTCGCTATTATAAGACTTCTGTTTGCTTTGTGCTCATGCTCTCTCCCATGATTGGCTGTGGTTCCTGCCAATCACCAGGTTATCAGATCTCTTTCATGCCTGAAGTTGGAACATGACGAGTGGCATATCAAAATGTTCCTTGACGTGAAAAGGCTCTTACGTTGTAAATTAAAACACACTTTTAACTTTTGCGTAAAACTTGTTCCTGTCATTGTATGAATACAAATGTCACTATCTTGCTTAAAAAAAAAAAGACAGCTCAGTAAAAATAGCTAGCTAGCCTAGCTAAACAACAGCCAGTTTTAGCAGACTGTGAAACAGATTAAAAATATTATGTATATTATATAAATATAACAATTAAATATTGTTCAACTCATAAATACTTCGTCTTCAGTGTTCAAAAATGTGTTTACCAATTAAATGTAAAATTTCTTAGATGGGTCTTTTCATATCTCAATGCCTAGCATGCTTATTAATCAACAGTATCAAATGGACCGTAAATGAGCCAGCTTTCGCTCTTAAGGCTAATTTTCCTGATGGAGAACACCAAAAATATGTCCTTCACAGAACAGCTTCAAGATACCATGCTGTGTTTAGCCAACTCAATATGCTGCAAAATGACTTAATGTCTGTGTACCAATACAATTTACTGATAGCTAGCTAGCTACATGTATAACTAAGCTAACTAATTGTAGCATATTTGTTCATTCATTCATATTCAAGAATACTTTATCCTAGTCAGATCATGGTAGATCCACAGTCAATCCCGGGAACACTGGGTGTGAGGTTGGAATATACTCGGGTTGGGATGTCGGTCCATTGCATGTACAGCTGGGAGCAATTTAGTGTCAATCCACCTACCAGCATGTGTTTTTGGAAGAACCCAAAGGACACCTGAGGCATGGCCCTGAGTTTCTTTTATATGCTATTTAAAAAAATTAAAAAAAACTTTGTGATGGTGTAACATGAAGTTAATTTACTAATAGTAGGTCAATTTGTGCAAGCATCTACTCTCATTAAACTTTAATCTCAGTAGATTTGTGCTGTGTGCAAGATTTTTGTTTTAGTAAAGAAGGAGCATTATGTAATACTTTGTAAACAAGACAGATTCATCAGAAGTAAAATGGTCGTACTTTTCTAACTTGAGAGTGATAACACCTGCTTCTGACCTACAGCTGTAATAGTCTGTAATGTTTTAAGTTGTCAGTGTAATTTTAGCAACTCTTTTAACCTTTACCAACATCTTAACAGCATGCATTTAATAGTGATTTGTAGCGTTGCCTCAGCTCCAGGGTCCCCAGGTTGTTCCTGAGCTCAGTTTGCCCACATGGGTTTCCTCTGAGTTTTCTGGTTTTGTTTCACCTCCCAAACCATGTCAGTGGGTGCATGGCTAAGATAAATTTCCCCTAGGTGTGAGTGAATGTGTAAATGTCTAGGCGCAAGACAGGGTGCCCTTCCATGGACTGGCATCCCATCCAGCGTATATTTCCACCTCACAGCCAGTGTTCTCAGGATAAGCAGGATAAAGCGATGACTATTGTAACTATTGGGTGATGTGAGTGAAAATTTGTAGTTAAGTAAAACTACAAATGTAAACATGTAAAATTACATGCGAGTGACATGAATTCATGTTTAAAATCCAGCAGTGAAAGAGTTGAATGAAGTGGAGGTTACGGCTAGATGGTAGCCGATGAACTCCGCTCTTTCTGCCAGGTGCTCTGTGTGCTTTCTCACTGAGAAGATCTGATGGGTGAAAAGTGACAGTAGACTGTTCAAAATCGAGTCTAGAAGTCTTCAAATCGAGTGTCAGAGTAGTTAGATGCCCTGCCGAAATCATTAAATGGTTGACAAATAGTCATATAAGTTGTAAGTAATTGTTGAATTACAGTGATGGTGAGTTAAACTGTTTCTTCCCCCTTAAAGTTAGCATTGTAGGACACTAGTGTTCATGTGTCTGATCCCACCAAATAAAAATGAGCATAAAGAAAAAAATGTTGAAACTGTTGGTTTTAACCAAAATCCAATATTTAGCATGGAGTGAAAAAAAGATTATTATTATTTTTTTTTTTTTTAACACATAGCCATTGCCAGTTAAACAGCTGACAAACACTCCATAAGCGGAACCAAGCTGAACATTCATTTCTATTTTCCTTTGGTTGTTCTTAAACTTAGACATATTGAAAAGAGAACACTCATTTATGATGGTTATTATGAAGAAGTCTTTCATTATTTGAATATTTGTGATTAAATGTCCAGGAATAATTGTAACTTTCCACCTGCTAGTAAAAGATGCAGTATTGAGTATATTACGTGTTATTTGTTGCTGAGATATGCGTAGTTGTATGTACATACTGATGATTTAAGTGGAGTTGTGAGACCTCAGATTGAGATGGAATGTAATTAAGGGTAGAGCACAAAGAACCATTCATAATAATGTATAAGCAGGTCAGTTATTATTATTATTATTTTTTTTTGTGTCCTTAAAAGTGTCCTTGCAAAGTAGATGGTGAGCCATCTAAGGAGCTGAGCGCACTTATTTATTGAATGGATCACTTATTTGTTTGGAGTTACTTAAAATAGGAGTGTTAAACATGCAGCCTGTGGGCCAGAACCAGGCAGATAAAAGTTTGAATCCGGCCTGCCAAATGATATTAGCGTCTGTGTACTGAGTTAAAATTGTCTTCTGGACTGTAATGAGCTTATTGCACAAACATGTCCACAGTTGTGACACTTCCAGCTCTTTCGCTACACACGCAGTAGCTGTATTTTACAGTATGTGTCTGCAAGAGTTCCTGAAGTACTGTATGCAAGAATACTGGCAAGCAGGCTGGAGAAAAGCTTCAAACTGTATGCTTCATTATATATGCACAAGAATGTTGTTCTTTCAGCTGCTCCTGTTAGAGATCACTACAGCAGATCACTGGTTCGCATATTTGATTTGGCACAGTTTTTAAGCCAGATGCCTTTCCTGACGCAGCCCTCTCCAATTTTATCTGGGCTTGGGACCGGCACTGGGAGTGCACTGTCGTGTGCAGCTCCAGTGGCTGGGGCAGGTTCCCTGGCCGGGAATCGAACCCAGGCCAGGGTGGTGAGATCGCCGAGGCCTAACCACTAGTCCTCCTGGGATCCTATATACACAAGAATGAAGGTAAGAAAATACCTATTAACAGAACACCCAAGCAAGTACGTCAAGGACAAGTTGCTGTCTCACTGTACTAATGAATGTAAACTATGCTGTTGGAAACGCAAGAGCCACACTATTTCAAAACGGAAATGCGTCATAACACTGAATACAAGGACACGATTTAAAAGAAGGATTTGGGAAAAGAGCTAGTCTCTGTTATTCCACTAGGAGGCAAAATAGAGCAATAAACTTAATTTCAAGCTAAAACGTAGATGTACCCACGAATCCTTCTAAAAAAAATGGGGATATTTATATAATCACAACCCCCCCTCCCCCCCTCCATTTCAATGTTATGGACTATGTGTAGATGATTCATGATATACAGTATAATCCCAGTTCAAGAGAGTAAATACTTGGTAAAATTTGGAAGGTTTTTAAAAATTTTTTTGGTAATGAACTGCAGTGTGTTCATGTGTTTTGTAGGTGATCTGTGTTTTTAATCCATTTCTGAATTCGGCATGTACCTTTCAGAGAACTGCTCCACCGAACTGATTTCTTTGGTCCAGCCCACATGACATTAGATTGAGTGTAGTCTAGCTATCTTAACGTGTGGTAGGACAGAAAGATTGAGAAAGCACTACATCTAACAAAACGTATTGCCCAACAAAGCTAAAGTAAGAGTCAAAGCATAAACCTAAGTAAAACCAAACCAATTAAACAGTGCATTCATTTAACTAAGAAAAAATAAAAGGGAAAAAAGCCTAATTTAGACTTAACTAGGTTTATAGGTTTATAATAGGTTTAGGATTAAAGTAGTAGAGTAGTGAACATAGAATTCAATGATTAGAACTATAATTTAACAAAAGATATTTAAATGTTGGATCAGAGTTAAACTGAAGAAATTCTGAGCCACACAGCTGTTGTATAACATGTGAGCTTTAGCTGTACATTTTGTATGTAGCTGCACTTGTTTTTAATAGCAGTAAAGATGAAGAATTTAATTTTAAACTTTTCTCGTATCTTGTGGATGCTAATATACACTATATGGCCAAAAGTTTGTGGACACCTGACCATCACATCCACATGCGCTTGTTGAATATCCCATTCCAGATTTAGTCCCCCTTTGCCGTTATGATAACCTCCACTCTTGTAGGAAGGCTTTCCACTAGATTTTGGAACATGGATGTGGGGATCTGTGCTCATTCAGCCACAAGAGCATTATTGAGTTCAGGCACTGATGTTAGCACAGTTCCAGTTCATCCCAAAGATGGTCAGTGGGGTTGAGGTCAGGGCTCTGTGCAGGACACTCAAGTTCTTCAACACCAAATTCGGCAAACCATGTCTTCAGGAATCTTTGTGCACAAGGGCAATGTGGAACATGCTGGAACAGGTTTGGGCCCCTTAATTCCAGATAAGGAAATTGTAACGCTACAGCATACAGAGACATTGTACAATTGTTTACTTCCACCTTTGTGACAACAGTTTGTGGATGAACCACATATGGGTGTGATGGTCAGGTGTCTACATACTTTAGGCCATATAATGTATCAGGATAGCTAGCTACCTAGGTAGGATAACATTACACTTATCCTGCTTTATAAAAAAAAACAAATTGAAGTTATACTTTTTAATCAAAACCTAGGATGACAAATCAGTGGGAAAAATGAAAAATATTAACCAGACGAGGCTGGGTTTGGTGCTTAGTTTTCAGTAAAGTTAATGATTAGTTATAGAGTAAGGTGCATTGGTACCATATAATTTGTCAGTACTGCAAATCTTTTCTCAGAATACAGTATCAAACTGTAAAACACTAAAAAACATAAAAAAAAAAAATATTATATTGGGTTGGATACAGTATTTTATTTTTAAAAATTTAGAAATTCTTTACAGTGTAGTGAAAATCCCGACTGGTTACTTCGCATGGTAAACTAAACACAATGGTAATGTCAAGCCCAGCTTTCAGTTTGTGATACCTCTTAAAAAAAAAAAAAAAAAAGGAAGTGAGATTTGCTTATGTACACTCAGAAAATACAAATGTAGAAATGATTCGAGTGGTTTATTGTCTAATGCTGTGTCAAATTCTACACGGGTAGCATTGCCGCCTCACAGCTCCAGGGTCCTGGGTTCGATCCCGAGCTCGGGTTACTGTCTGTGCGGCGTTCGACATGTTCTCCCCATATTCGTGTGGGTTTCCTCTAGATTTTCCGTCCACTGTCCGAATACAGGTAGGTACTAGATTGGGGTGAATGACTGTATGAATGGTTCCCTATAATGGACTGGCATCCCACTGGGATGAATTGTCTTGCCCTGTGCCCAGTGTTGCTGGAATAGGCAACACTGCATCCCTGATCAGCAAAAAGCAGTTACTGAAAATGAATGAATGAATGAATGAAATTAGGATTAATGAGTTCCAACCCCTTTCTGTAGGTGTTACTTAAAACTATTGTCAAAGACGTAATTTCACAAGCGTGGTTCCTTATTTGTGACCAGATTAGTTCCCTGTTCTGCGCATAGTTCAAGTTCCTCACAGATCGACTTTCACACTTAGTTTGTTTGTCATTGTTGGATATTGGTCATATGTTCATAATAATATGACTGTCTTTTGTATAGATGGAGTAATATTCCCCCTCATGATCTTCATTCTCGTACAAAATGGAAATGGAAAGGAGTGCACAAAGGTATGTTATAAATTAATCACTGTAAGTATTTGATCATTTCTATAATGTGTAGAGTGAGTCTTACCAAACTCCTATCATTTTGACTCTAACAGGTTCTAAACAATCGACACTATTCATGTGAAGGAAGGAATCTCACCTATATACCTAGCAGTATTCCTTCATCTGTAGAGACACTGGACTTCAGTTTTAACTGGTTGCCTTCTTTACAAAAGCATCTATTTCCTCCACTGTATGATTTGCAGGTCCTGGATCTGACAAGGTAAAGAGTTCTGTCCATGTAAAGATCATTGCTTAACACTAATGCTTCCTCTTACATTAATAAATATTAAAATAACAATATATTTTTTTGTACATTTTTTTGGCCTTTCAGATGCCAAATCCAGTACATTG